AGTGGCCAGGAAGAGGTCAATGGGAGAAAAAGGATATTCATGTAATACTTTAAACAATAAAGAATTTAAATTAAAATAAATAAATAAATGAATTCGGCAAGGTAGCAGGATACAATGGCATTTTTATTTTTTTAATATATTTTATTGATTTTTTACAGAGAAGAAGGGAGAGGGATAGAGAGTTAGAAACATTGATGAGAGAGAAACATCAATCAGCTGCCTCCTGCACACCTCCTACTGGGGATGTGGCCGCAACCAAGGTACATGCCCTTGACCGGAATCGAACGTGGAACCTTTCAGTCTGCAGGCCGACGCTCTATCCACTGAGCCAAACCGGTTAGGGCTACAATGGCATTTTTATACACCAATAATGAACCCTCAGAAAGAGAAACTTAAAAAAAATCCCATTTACCATTGCAACAACAAAAATAAGATACCAAGGAATAAATTTAAACAAGGAGGTAAAAGACCTGTACTTGAAAAACTATAGGACATTGGATAAAGAAATAGAGGAAGATACAAACAAATGAAAACATATACCATGTTCATGGATTGGAAGAATTAACATCATCAAAATGTTTATACTACCCAAAGCAATCTATAGATTCAACTCAATCTATTAAAATAACAATGGCATACTTCACAGAACTAGAACAAATATTCCAAAACTTTATATGGAACCATAAAGGACCCTGAATAGCTGCAGCAAACTTAAGAAAGAATAACAAAGTTGGAATGATCACAATACCAGATATCAAACTATACTACAAAGCCATTGTAACCAAAACAGCCCGGTACTGGCACAAGAACAGGTATATAGAGCAATGGATCAGAACAGAGACCCCCTCAGAAAATGACCCACACCATTACGGTCAATTAATATTTGACAATGGAGGCAAGAACGTACAATGGAGTAAAGATAGTCTCTTCAACAAATGGTGTTGGGAAAATTGGACAGCCAGATGCAAACAATGAAACTAGACCACCAACTTACACCACACCCAAGAATAAACTCAAAATGGATAAAAGACTTAAATGTAAGTCATGAAACCATAAAAATCTTAGAAGAAAACATAGGCGGTAAAATCTCAGACATCTCAAGTAGCATAATATCTGATGACACATCTCCTAGGGCAGCGGTTCTCAACCTGTGGGTCGCGACCCCTTTGGAAAACATATATATTACATATTGTTTTTGTGATTAATCACTATGCTTTAATTATGTTCAATTTGTAACAATGAAATTGGGGGTCACCACAACATGAGGAACTGTATTAAAGAAAAGATTCTGAACAGCAAAAGAAAGCACTATCAAAATGAAAAGGGAACCCACTGAATGGGAGAACATATTTGCCAATAATACATCTGATAAGGAATTAATATCCAAAATATATAAAGTATTCATACAACTCAACAAAAAGAAGACAAACAATCCAATTCAAAGATGGGCATTACAAATTAACAAATGACAAGTGTTGGCAAGGATGTGGAGAAAAGGGAACTCTAGTACACTGCTGGCTGGAAAGCAGACTGGTGCAGCCATTATGGAAAACAGTATGGAGTTTCCTCAAAATATTAAATATGCAACTGCCATTTGTCCCAGCGATCCCATTTCTGGGAATATAGCCTAAAAATTCCAAAACACCAGTAAGAAAGAATGTATGCACCCCTATGTTCATAGCAGCACAATTTACAATAGCTAAGATTTGGAAACAGTCCAAGTGCCCATCAGTAGATGAGTGGATAAAAATGCGGTGGGACATTTACACAATGAAATATTATGCAGCTGTAAAAAAGAGGAATCTCTTACCCTTTGGGACAGCATGGATGGACCTGGAGAATATTATGCTAAGTGAAATAAGCCAGTTTGAGAAAGACAAATATCACATGATCTCACTTATTTGTAGATCTAATGAACAAAATGAATTGACCAACAATATAAAACCCAAAGCATGGAGGCATGGAACAAATTGACATACATTGATGTGGGAATGGAGGAATGAGAAGAGATAAACCAAAGAACTTATATACTTATATGCATAGCCCATGGACACGGGCAACAGGGTAGTGAAGACCTGGGAGTGTGTGCAGAGGCTGGAAGGAGGGGGATAAATGGGGGGAAATGGGAGACATCTGTAATATTATCAACAATAAAAACATATACTTATATCTATACAGAAGGAAACACTTCTAGGGGAAAAAAGATAATATAAAATTCTCACTAAAGTAATGATTAGATCTCTAAGAGTTGGCTATAAGTTAAAGAAAAAGCTAAAAAAAATACACATGAAATAATAATATATAAAAAAATGAATAAATAGGCTTTAATGTACTAATTCCCTGACAAATTAGAAAGAAACCCCAAAATTTGTAGCCAGCTGGTCAGAAGAAAGTTTACATGGGTTAAATAGAGATCAGTTAAAAAATGACTACAGTTCTGAATTCTATCATGACTGCTGAGTGAATAGCTGTTTTTGTTTAAACAATCTGATTTTTAAATTTTAGTAATAAACTTTCAGAACAATCTAAGTTGTAGCAAACAGTTATAATTTCAAATAAATTAATAATGCTATTTTCACCTTCTTAGCCTACATTTCCCTTCTCTTTTAGCTTGCAGAAAGGTTTGCCTTAAAATGACTTTAAAATTACATGACAAAGAAGCCACTTAATAAAGATCTCTTTTAAAAAAGTAAAAACATGAAAAATAAAATATATAATTCTTATAACACATTTAATATCTATTCCAGGCAAAATAAAAAATTGATATAGTACTACCAATTTACAGCAGATTATAATGTTCTACTAGAAAAATAAAGTAGCAAATGTGACCTTTTAAATTAGAAATGTATACAACAGGCACTGAGCAAATGTTAAGAAATCTGACTTTTAAAAAGTGCCAAGATAGAGTAGGTACTTAAATTGATTTTTCTTAGAACACCAACTCTATGGTAGTATCTGCCCCAGGCTTCCTGACGGAATACACACTAAAGAAACCTATGATTCATCACCTAAAAACAGATAAACAACAAAAGCAACTTTTAATAATCAGTTAACTCCTATGCACAGGAATTTAATTCAATAAAAAATGCTCTTTTTATCAATAGCTAATTTTTTTGTTGTTTAATAAGGACCTGTCCACAGGGATTCAAAAAAACAATTCACTATATCCCGAAAAGTAACACCAACCAACTCCACATTATTTTAACATTATAATATCTTTGGCCGAATGGTGTTACTAGTACGATGAAATTTTTAGTCTGGATTATTACAACTATGCAATACTTTTGCAAATGAAATAAAAACATATTTCCTTAATGAGACTAAAATAGTTCTCTGATTATTCAAGTTCTTAAAATGAATTCAAATTTCATCCTTTCCCCTAATGTTAATATGTCTTTAATAAAATACACTTAAGAGTATTATAATATCTTTAATAATGCAGATTCAATTTACTACAGTTACTGCAATCAATATGAGCTACTCTGAATGTACAACATAATGGGACTCATATCTCAAATTGTTCAGGCATTTATACCTTGTTTCTGGCTATTACCAAAAGTGAAAACATAATAAGTAACAAAATGATAGATGTTGATATAAAAAGGAAATGAAAATGTAGTGAATACAATTTTTGCAAATGTGTGTAATATATAAGGATATTGTCATGAGATTTCTAAAATAACTTACAAAACTAAATTCTACTATATAGAGACACCTATAGAGGTAAAGACATCAGTGCTTTTTATCTTATACTAGAGGCCTGGTGCACAAAATTCGTTCACGGGGGTGGGGGGGAGAAGAGGGGTCCCTCAGCCAGGCCTGCACCCTCTTGCAGTCTGGGAGCCCTCGGGGGATGGCTTAGCGCTGCCGCAGAGGCAGGAGAGGCTCCCAACATCGCCACTGCGCTTGCTAGCTGTGAGCCTGGCTCAGGGCTTCTGGCTGAGTGGCACTCCCTGCTGTGGGAGCACACTGACCACCAGGGGGCAGCTTCTGTGTTGAGCATCTGCCCCCTGGTGGTCAGTGCGTGTCATAGCAACCGGTGGTTCTGCCGTTCGGTCGATTTGCATATTAGCCTTTTATTATACCAGATCCTGAGTAGTTTTTACTACTGTCTAATGTCACCTTAAGCAATACTCTTTTAAAAGTTACAAAAACACTTGAAAATATCATTCAAACATTAATAGGAGATTTAATTAACTATAGGAATAAAAATCACAATATAGAAAATAACTATTTTTTAAAAAGCTGTTTTATATAAGAAAAATATTTTCATGACTTAAAATTTTGATTATAGCAAATCCTTACCAGGGCTTCCAAATACATATCTAGCTTATACCAGAAGACAAGCTAGTTACACAGACTCAGCTCATAAAACTTAACCAATGCATGCAAAAAGCCAAATATTTACAGTACAAAATGATTACCAATGTCCTCTTTAAGCACCAGGTCTATGAAAAGCTTTCTCTTCATCTGATGACTTAAGTTCACAATTAACATTTTAGGTTCCATTAAGAGAGGGAAGCATAACTAGGGTTATGCTCCTTAGAATTATATTGTTTGTTATTGAATGTTACCTTCCAACCTATCAAGTACCAAATTATCTAGTGAAAGAAACCCCAAACTATAAAAAATACCAACAGGATGAAAAAGAAAATGATGAAGCCAGGGATACACATTCTCTTACTGGGATTTTCTCTTTGGTTAGATATTTTACTCTGTTAGAAATTATTTTCTCAGTCTATAAAATCTAGAGATGATTTAAGGTGCTCTTAGCAAATTAACAATTTAAAAATCCTGTGGATTTTATTACAGCAGGGTTTTGCCTATAACTTTTTTTTGCCACGGTAATATATATTAAACTTTATAGCATTAACCATGCTATTTTCAAAAAATGACACTAAATAAGTATTGTGCTTATGACACATATAAACAGAATAATCAACTTCTGAAACTGAATGTATTAAAATCGTCCTAAATATATCATGACTACAGTTACTCACTTGAAATGACCTTTCCATTGTTATTGCAAAGTAGTATTCTCTCCTGGGATATCTTCGCTCACAAACCAACACTTGATTGCAAATTCTGCCCTTTTCTCCTGTTTGCTTGGTAAACAACTTTTTCCCAATCATTTGTGAGGAAACAGCTTTTGCTTCTTCTGGACTGAAATAAGAAAAACAACTCAAATTCTTTTTTCCTCCAAATGAGTAAAACAAAAGCACATGATAGACAAAATCTCATCTCATCTAATACTTAAATCTCAGTATTTTCATCAATTCAATAAATAGGGGAATTTTTTACCATGATTTTTTTTTCATTAATGGTTTTTCTTCAAAAAACATGACTTACGAGAAAACTATCTTCACTCCTCCTTTGAGACCACTTTCAAATGTTCCTTTTCCTCTACCACCAGCTAAAACCTGTGCCTTTACCACAACATCTTTTGAACCTAGAAGAAAAACACTTCTATTAGATAAAAAGCATGGGGAAGCATGCAAGACCCAATATTTTGTTATTTAAGCATACATATTAAGTGGTGTTATAAATGCAGTAAAGTCATTTATCCACAATGTCAAAAAATAGCCATTCCATGTATGAGAATGCCTAACTTGTAGCTGAACAGAAGTCCTGTAACTAAGGATATGCAGGCCCTGATCAGGTAGCTCAGTTGGTTACAGCGTCGTTTCCATACGCCAATGTTGTGGGTTCGATCTCCAGTCAGGACACGTGCAAGAAGCAACCAATAAATACGTAAGTGGAACAACAAAATCCATCTCTCTCTCTAATCAATCAAATAAATAAATAA